GAAAGTCATTAGAAAGAGCAGTGGGCACCCCCTGCCTCCACACCTGTAGAACAGCCGCAGGCAGTGGCCAATCTCCCAAGCAAGCAATCGAAGGTCCTTCTGCAGAGACATTTAGACGTCCCAGGGAGAAGACCAATTTGTCCTGGCGTTTGGGGATCCGGTGTGGCCAGCAGCTCCCTGACCAGTCCCCTTAGCAGAAGCCACAGGTCAGCCATCCCAGATGGATAGTTGGAATTCCAGCCAGCTTTTACTGCTTCTCTCTTAAGCCTGAAATGGCAACCCAAGATCCCCTGACATTTGGAGAGAGTTTAGAAGTAAAGGAGAGAGATAAAGGCAAACAAATTTTAAAAGATCCATCCCAGGACACAAGATGCTGAGAAAAGCAATGATCTAAAACTTGGAAATGAAAAATACAATTGTTGTATTATTTTAGAGATCGCTAAAAAGGATTGGGAGGGAAAGATGAGACAACTTCTCAGAAAGCAGAGCTAAAAAGCACAGGGAATGGGAGGCTTGAAAGAATAATTAGAGACAGAAAGGTTGTGTCTGGGAGTTCCAGTAATCTCTCCAATGGACAAACGTTCTCCCCAAAGAGCAGAAAATAAAATGGAGATTATCAAATAAAATACAACACACAACTATGAGAGAATTCCCAGCTCTGCAGGACACAGATGTTTAAAGGTTTCACTGACTGTGCAGCACAATAAATGAAAAGCAAAACAAGACAAATAAAACCCACGCTTAGCTCCACCATTGTGAAATGTGAGAAAAACAAAGATAAGGAGACTGTCCTAAAGTATCTAGTATACAAGACAGGTCACCCGTTAAAGAGATAGAACCCAATGCATGTTAGGAGTCCGTGACATTACGCTTTTCAAGTGCTGAGAGAAGCTGGCTTTTACCCTAGGAATCTGTGTCCCTCCAGACTGTGAATTAAATGGGGAAGGTGGTGGAGGAAAGACAGGTTTCCAAACAGGCACCTCCCACACAGACTTTGTCAGGAAGTTAGTTGAGGATGTGCTCCAGAGAAACAAGGAAGTAAGCCAAAAAAAGGAGAAGATGTGGAATGCAGGAAAACATCGTTCTAACCAAGGAGAGAAGAAAGGGAATTCCCGGGATGAGAAGCGGGCAGCAAGCACAGGCATCCCGCAGTCTAGACGCAGGGGAAGTCGAGGGGCTCTGGGGGAAGGGCTCCAGGGAGAGGGTCTAAGAGAACACCTGATTTGATGAATGGGGGGGGGGGATAATGTGTGAAAGTCAATGCAGGACACAAAGAAGGGCAATTAGAAACATCTAGAAAAACATGAGCCTTCTAAGAAATGATACAGAACACATCTTAGCCTCTTTGGGGAGCAGTGGTTGTGTGGATATACACGTACATACATACGTAAATACTGTTCATGGGTGGCTGAAGACGAAGCACGGAAGACAATCATAATTATAGAAACTGAACTGAATGCTACCAGCTTAGCACATTATGTATAGAAGAGAACCCAGTGGAATGTTCTGTGAAGGCAGAGATGTTCTATATGTGTACTAAACATTGTAGTGGGCACTGGTCATGTGCAGGTGTGGCTAGGGCTGCTATGCGGGATACTGCAGGAATAGATGACCACAGCTGAAGGGAAGGGGTCCAGCATCCTGATATAAAATGGGAGCTGTAAGATCCTATGCATAATTAATAGAACTAGAAATAAAAGCATGAGTATATTTTGTAAAAATATAATGATGATCAACAAAGGACCTAAAACAATTAACTACACTGCAAGGTCAGAGGAGGCATCGTGAGAATGACAATGAATAAGCCGTGTCCTCTGATGGCAAAGGAATGTGCTCTCTGGAAATATTCTCTGTTGAATAAGCACATCCTCAACTAACTTCCTGTTGAATAATCGAGAGCTTATTACTTAAATATGGAAGCAATAGCAAGGAGGCCTTGCAAAAAGATGCAAGAAGCACTTTGCCCCTGGAAATAGGAAGACGTTGGGAGGATCTTACCTTTTGACAGAGCTTTCCTGTACTATTTGATTTTTAAATCAGGTACATGCATGACTTCAATGAAAATTTCAAACACATACTCCCACACACCCTTTAGAAAACAATGAACACAGATTTGCAAGGGCGTGATCCTAAATCGGCACAAACAGCAGATCAAGACACTAAGGCATCATGTGCGAGAAGGGGGTCCTGCACGAGAACTGCCCAGGGGCTTCTGTGACTGGGGAGCCTCCTCAGAGCAGGGGGCATCGAGCAGACCAGGGAGCCCTCCTCAGAGAAGGGGGGATCGAGCAGTGTCCTGGACCCAGTGCACGGTTCTGCTGGGCAGGAGCGTGTTGTGTGGTGCCATCCAGCTTCCCCAAAGACTAGAGAATGACCCATCTCGTGTGTGTGTGTCTCACTGCCTCTTTTTTTTAAGATTTATTTATTTATTTGAAAGGCAGAGTGACAGAGAGAGAGAAAGAGAGATTTTCCATCCATTGGTTCACTCTCCAAATGGCTGCAATGGCTGGGGCCAGGCCAGGCAGAAGCCAGGAGCCAGGAGTCAGGAACTCATCTGGGTCTCCCACGTGGTCCCAGGCACCCAGGCCATTTTCTGCTACTTTCCTAAGCACCTTAGCAGGGAAGAAACTGGATCCAAAGTGGAGCAGCTGGGATGCTGGTGCCACAGGTGGTGCCTTAATTTACTGTACCACAATACTGGCCCTCACTGCCTCTCTCCCTCTCCCCCTCTCCCTCCCCTCCCCCTTCCCTCTTTCTCCCGCTCCCAACGGGGCTGGAGAGTTTCGGATCGTCTCTCTCTCAACATCTCCATATTTCTCTGACCTTGCTTCTCTGTCTCTCTGCCTCCCTCTCCCATTCTCCAACTTCCTCTCTCTTCTCTCTCTGTCCCTCTGTATCTCTGCCTTCTGTCTCACTGTCCTTGTTCCTCTTTTCACCTCTGTGTCCCTGTGTCTCTTTCTGTCCCTCCCTCTGGGATCTTTGCATCCTGCTACCTTCTGTCCCTGTGGCGCGTGGGTCTCCCACCACCTCCACCCATCAGAGAAAAGGACCTCCTGTGGCAGAAGCTCCAGCACCTGTCAGCGGTGGCCCCAGGATGCTGTGTGGGCTGCAGCAAGATCTTTGGCCGCCTGTCTCGGCGGTACCCGTGCAGGTACCTGGGAAGGGAGGGAGGGAGGGACGCGTGGAGCCGGGAGTGCTCTCACCCCACCTGGCATCCAGCACTCAGCAGTGCCAGGAGCGAGAGCCATGGGAAGGGGCCAGCTGAGGAATGGGGTCCTGGAAGATGGGATGAATGAGATGGGCGGGTGGGCTTCTCGTATGGACAGAGCCCCAGCACACGCCTGGGTGCCCCCGCCTCTGCCCGCAGGCTCTGTGGAGGCCTGGTTTGCCACGCCTGCTCCGCGGATTACAGGAGGAGAGAGCGCTGCTGCCCACTCTGTGCCCAGGGAGCGGAAGCCCAAGTCCCCTGACCCAGGCCAGCCAGGCCTGGCCCTCGACCCCACTGCCCAGCCCACCTGGCCACTCCCTGCCGCGGCTCTTCCCAGCCCTCTGACGTGGCCAGCCCTGCCTTCTGGAAGCTGTCATGCTCAGGCAGCCCTTCCACAGACAGACGACAGCCTGCGATAGGGGAAGCCAGGCCGGCTGCTCGGAGACGGTGAGCCAGGGACCTGGGCAGGGCAGGGCCCTCAGCCCTCAGGGCTCCATCCCTAAGGTCCCTTTGGGCTCAGCAAACCCATGCGTGGGAGTAGGACCCAGGGCAGCCCTGACATCACCCAGCAACTCACCCTGCTTCCCCACACCGCGGAGCCCATTCATAAGCGCTCAGGAAAGCCCCAAGTCTGCACGACCCTGGGCTCTTCCGTAGCTGCCTGTCTGGAATCCGCTGCAGGGGCTGTGTTGTGTTGTCGTGTGTTGCGTTGCGTTGCGTTATGTTTTCAACGGCTTTATTGCAGTTTGGCTGACGTACAATAAACCTCACTTCAATCTTTCGGTTGGCTGAGCTTTAACTCTTCAATGGGCCATGTTGCCATCGCCACATTCAGAGTAACATACACATCCCTTGGCCCCAAAGCTACCCTGTGCCCCCGGTAACCACCCCACCAGGGGTTCCTCCTGCTGTACCCAGGCGACCAGTGATCTGTCACCAGGAATGATGGTGCCTTCTCTAGCGTTTCGTCTCCGTGGAGTCATCCAGCCTCCACTCTGCTGTCTTTCAGCAGCATGGTGCTTTTGAGTTTCATCCCTCAGCAGTTCCTTTTCAGTGCCAAGTAGTATTCCACGATGGGTTTATATACTCACCTGTTGCTGGACATTTGGGCGATGTCTAATTTGGGGGTACTGCAAATACGGCTCCCAGGGGCATCAGTGGACAATTCTCTGTCTAGAGACACACTTTCACTTCTCTTGAGGAAATACCTGGGATAAAATGGGTCATGTGTAGGTGCACGCTTCATTTCTCTTTTTGAAGATTTGTTTATTTATTTTGAAAGTCAAAGTTACAAAGAAAGAGAGGGAGAGACAGAGACAGAGATCTTCCATCTGCTGCGTCACTTCCCAAATGGTTGCAGTGGCTGAAGCCAGGAATCAGGAGCCTCTTCCAGGTCTCCCATGTGGATGTAAAGGCCCAAAGAGTTTGGACATCTTCCGCTGCTTTCACAAGTGCATTGGCAGGGAGCTGGATCAGAAGTGGAGCAGCCAGGACTCAAATCGGTGCCCATATGGCCAGTGTTGCAAGCCGCAGCTCAACCTGTTATGCCACAACACTGGCCCCAACACGCTTCACTTTTAGGAAACCAATGGGGCAGGTATTGGAGTGCAATGGATTAAACTGCTGCTTGGGACCCCAACACCCCATATCAGAGTGCCTGGGATTAAACTCCGCCTCCACCTCCATCCAGCTTCCTGCTGATGTGCGCCTTGGGAGGTAGCAGGTGATGGTTCAATTTCTTGGGTCTCTGTCACCCAGGTGGGAAACCCAGATGGAGCTCCTGGCTTCTGGCTTTGGCCTGGCCCAATCCTGACTGTTGTGGGCATGTAGGGAGTGAACCAGCAGGTGAAAGATTGCCCCAGCCCCACCTTTCAAGTAAATATAAATAAATAAAACTTTTTTCTTTTTCTTATTTTTTTAATTTTTCTAATAGAAAACTTTTATTTACTAAATAAAATTTTCGAAAGTCCAACTTTTGGATTATAGTGGTTCTTCCCCATAACCACCCTCCCACCCACAAACCATCCCATCTCCTACTCTCTCTCCCATCCCATTCTTCATTAAGATTCATTTTTAATTATTTTTTTATACAGAAGATCAGTTCTATACTAAGTAAAGATTTCAACAGTTTGCACCCACCAGACACACAAAGTATAAAGTACTGTTTGAAGACTAGTTTTAGTGTTAATTCTCATAGTACAACACATTAAGGACAGAGGTCCTACATGGGGAATAAAACTCTTCTAAGTAAAGAAACTGCCAAGGGCTGGCATTGTGGTATAGTGGGTAAAGCCGCCGCCTGCAGTGCTGGCATCCTAAATGGCCACCGGTTCGAGTCCCGGATGCTCTACTTCCAATCCAGCTCTCTGCTATGGCCTGGGAAAGCAGTAGAAGATAGCCTGAGTCCCAGGGTCCCTGCACCTGCATGGGAGACCTGGAAGAAGCTCCTGGCTCCTGGTTTCGGATCCGCACAGCTCTGGCCATTGCAGCCAATTGGGGAGTGAACCAGCGGATGGAAGACCTCTCTCTCTCTCTCTCTGCCTCTCTGTCTCTCCTTCTCTCTGTAATTCTGCCTTTCAAATAAATAAATAAATCTTGAAAAGAAAAAAAACTGTCAAACTGCGCTCACCCCTCCAATTTCCGCGTGGAGCTGGCGCAGGACTGAGCTGGCATGTAACCCACTGAGTCCTCCCACGCTCTCCGCATCGCCTCTAGGTTAGGCGTGACACCGGAAGCCGCGGTTAGCACCGCGGTGCTTAGAGAACAATGAGAAAACCTCAGCGTGGATGCGAGGTCTTTTGAGCATTCTCAGCCCACCCTTGATTGAATCCTAGGACGTGGAACACGGAACCAGAGGACCCCCTGTGCTTCCCAAGCAGGCCACACGCTGTTCGCTCCCACTGCCTGCGTGGGAGAGTGCCAGCGGCTCCCAGGCCTCTGGCCTGGGTGGGCAGGAGAGGAGGCGAGGCCCGGGGCTTGGACCTCTCTTTCCTTTCCCTCCAGCAGCTCTGGGGGATCATCACTCCCAGGCCATCAGTGAGCAGCTGAGTTTCGGGACTCTGTGTGCAGTGCTCACTCACGATAGACAGTGGGTGAGCTGATCGTGGTATAAGACCATTTCCTCTGCACTGTCCAGAAAGATGACACAGATTCTAGATCATCCCCTGGGCCCCTAGCTGTGGCACTTCTGAGAACACTGTTTCAGAAAAGGCCTGGGTCCCCCAGTGTGGGACAGAGTGGCTACGGCCAAGCCCGGCCTGCTGTGCCCCTTACACGCGTGCGCACTGCTCCCCGCCGCCCGCCGGGCCACGCATGCGCACTGCTCCCCGCCGCCCGCCTGGCCTTACACGTGCAGCTCCGCAGTAGTTGGGCAATCTTGTGGCTCCGACCAGGGCCGGGGGACCGCCTGTAGGGTCAAGGCTGCCCAGAGTTGCTGCCTGTTGCCTTTGCATGGAGCAAGAGTTTCACAACAGCAGTTCTGCCCTGGAGAACGGAGAACTTCTTCTTCGCCAGCACGTGAACAAGGTGTGGAAAGACAAGACGGGGTTTCCTGGAGCCCCTGGGAGGTCACACTCGCCCACACTCTCTCCTCAGGACAGAAGGAATAATTTTCCAGAGGCAGTGCAGGCACAGAGGTCAGACCTGCCTGGCCTTACACTGATCGGAGCTAGGGCAGGGAGGTGGCTAGCCGAAGCCTCTTCTCTTTCCGTTTTTTATTTTTTTTTAAAGATTTATTTTTATTTATTTGAAAGGCAGAGTTAGACGGAGAGAAGAAAGAGAGGGAAAGAAAGATCTTCCGTCTGCTGGTTCACTTCCCAAATGGCCACAATGGCTGGGATTTGGCTGGGCCAGGCTGAGGCCAGGAGCCAGGAGGAGCTTCATCCAGGTCTCCCACATGGATGGCAGGGACCCAAGGACTTGGGCCATCTTTTGCTGCTTTCCCAGATGCATTAGCAGGGAGCTGGATGGGAAGTGGAGCAGTTGGGACTTGAACCGGTGCCCATAGGGGATGCTGGCGCTGCAGGCAACAGCTTTACCTGTCACACCACAATGCCAGCCCCTGGAAGCCTCTTTTCAAAGAGGAACAAGGTGCCCCTTGAAGAGAACTCCTTAGCAGGAAATCAGGGACTGAGAGTGAGGGACCTTGACCATTTTCTCCTGTTTGGAGAAAGGAAGGGCAAATCCAGGGGCCAGACTCAAGCTCAACACTGCCCCTGAAGTCCCCCCGACCGCCCCGTCCAACAGAGAACCAGAAAGCTCTACAAGGAACCCGCAAAAAGTTCAGTGGTCTTTGAGGACCCTCTAATTTGGAGTCGCACCTCGAACCTGGTGCTGGCAGGGCTCCCAGCCTTCAGCCAAGAGTCTAGGGCACACGTCCGGAGGAGCAGGGAGGGGATGCCACTGGGGGACTCCCAGCTCCCTGGGGAGCACCCTGCAGGGCTAAAAGCCCAGAGGAGCACATGGAGCCTGAACCTGTGCTGGGTGCTTGTTGCCACCCATGTGACTTTCACTTGCATTCATAGGCTGCACGTGTCCTGGGGTGTTTGGGCAAAAAAGCTATGTATTTCAGGGCCGGTGCTGTGGTGTAGTAGGCTAAACCTCCGCCTGCAGTGCTGGCATCCCACAGGGACACTGGTTCATGTCCTGGCTTCTCTTCCAACCCAGCTCTCTGCTTATGGCCTGAGAAAGCAGTAAAGGATGGCCCAAGCCCTTGGGCCCTTGCACCTATCTGGGAGACCTGGAAGAAGCTCCTGGCTCTTGGCTTCAGATTGGCCCAGCTCCAGCTATTGTGGCTATTTGGAGAGTGAACCAGTAAATGAAAAACCTCTCTCTTGCTCGCTCGCTCGCTCTCTCTCTCTCTCTCTCTCTCTCTAACTCTACCTCTCACATAAATAAATGAATCTTTTTTAAAACTTCATGTATTTTGGGCCCGGTGCCGTGGCTTACTTGGTTAATCCTCTGCCTTGCAGTGCCAGCATCCCGTATGGGCAACGGGTTCTAGTCCTAGTTGCTCCTCTTCCAGTCCAGCTCTGTGCTGTGGCCCGGGAAGGCAGTGGAGGATGGCCCAAGTGCTTGGGCCCTGCACCTGCATGGGAGACCAGGAGGAAGCACCTGGCTCCTGGCTTCGGATCAGCACAGCACTGGCCATAGTGGCCATTTGGGGAGTGAACCAGCGGAAGGAAGACCTCTCTCTCTCTCTCTCTCTCTCTCTCTCTCTCTCTCTCTCTCTGTAACTCTATCTATCAAATAAATAAATAAAAATCTTTTTTAAAAAACTTCATGTATTTCTTTCAATTAGATGTCAGTGGGATACATCACTTTCCCCCAATTTTTTCAGTTCTTCAGTGTTCAGAAAGTTGTGTGAAGTGCTTGTGATACACCAGACGCTGCAGTTCAGCAGGGTGGGCAGAGAGAAAGAGCCCTGCTCTCGGGAGCCTTACAGTGGGGGCAGGAAGCAGCCAAACACGGGGCTGGTGACAAACCGTGGGCTACTTCTGCCTGGAAAGGACGAACTGGCCAGAGCCAGGGGGGTCAGCTTTAGCACTACAATGAAAAGCCCCAGACAAGCTACTTATGGAGGAAAGAGAGGTTTATCAGGCACTCACTTTCGGAGGTCCAAGTCCAAGTTCAGGCAGCCCCAATGGGCTGGCCTCTGGCGAGGGCGGCAGATGGCCATGGCAGACGGCATGTCAATGAAGAAGCAGAGTTCCCAGGGCACACAGGGCCTCACGTGGCGAGAGTGCCTGCACATCTGGCCACATCTGCATCATCTCTAAGGCTGCCAGGATTTCATCGTGGGGGTTCCACCCTAA